TTATGCCACTCGGGTTGGCGCAATTCTGTATATACATCTTTATGCTAGAATTTTATGCAATCTGTAAAAGTTACAGGAAAATCTAAAAGTCATTTTAATACTTACCTGGATAGATGAAAAATATTATCATAATATTTATATTTCGAATTTTTTTTCCTCTTGTTTTGCATATGATTTACCTGTAACTTTAATAGATTATATAGTAATCGCTCATTAATTTGATATTTAATATGACAAATATATAATAAAAAAGGGCGGCAGTGTAGAATTCGCACCCGGGCGGCAAATACCCTTGGCGCGGCCCTGCCTGTGGTGGTCCCGACGATTTCTGATGCGTCCTCACGAGATACTCCGAGCTGAGCCCTCTCAGTTCTTTCAGCTTCCTCTCAGCGCCTGGAACTATAACTCTCACCTGTAAAAACAAAAGGTATGAATATTCCCAAGTGAATACGTCGCTAAAATCGAGTGGAATAATCCAGGGCGTGAGTTTTAATCGACAACTTCACCATTTTCTCGACCGTAGAGAATCGCGCCATATAGTCGGACATCATTAAAACAGCTGCTTCTTACGCAAGCATAAGCGCTAACCCGGAAAGTTGAAGGTACCAGCCGTAATGATATTGCGGTCAGGTCAATGCAACAATCAAGCTGCCCCTGCTGCTAGACGATATGCCGAAATTTATCCGCTTAGACGTCATCCGGATGCAAAAGTTATTAGAAGAGTAGAGACTCGATTACGCGAAACAGGCAGTGTAATCATTCATCGTCCAGACGCTGGACGTGGACGAAATATGCGAATGATTCATGCGGAGGAGGAAATTATACGAAGAATCGAAGAAGAACCGAAAAAAAGCATTCGTTCCATTTCAAATCAAATAAATGTGCCAAAATCGATAGTCCATCGTGTTTTAAGAAACGAAGGTATGCATCCATACCATTTTTCACCAGTGCAACATCTTCGAGAAGGTGACGCCGAACGTCGTCTCGAATTTTGTCGGTGGCTGTTATTTGAAAATAACAGAGACAATGCA